CTCTGAAAGACCCGGCAGATCTAACATTATGAGGAAGTGCACTGCGCAGAGTGCTGCCTCTGAAAGACCCGGCAGATCTAACATTATGAGGAAGTGCACTGCGCAGAGTGCTGCCTCTGAAAGACCCGGCAGATCTAACATTATGAGGAAGTGCACTGCGCAGAGTGCTGCCTCTGAAAGACCCGGCAGATCTAACATTATGATGAAGTGCACTGCGCAGAGTGCTGCCTCTGAAAGACCCTGCAGATCTAACATTATGAGGAAGTGCACTGTGCAGAGTGCTGCCTCTGAAAGACCCTGCAGATCTAACATTATGATGAGGTGCACTGCGCAGAATGCTGCCTCTGAAAGACCCGGCAGATCTAACATTATGAGGAAGTGAACTGTGCAGAGTGCTTCCTCTGAAAGATCCGGCAAATCTAACATTATGAGGAAGTGCACTGCACAGAGTGCTGAATCTGAAAGACCCTGCAGATCTAACAGTAGGAGGAGGTGCACTGAAAGACCTGCCAGATGTAACATTATGAAGAGGTGCACTCCACAGAGGGCCTCTGAAAGACCCATCAGATCTGACATTAGCCAAAGTTACACATCTGCCACCCTCCAGTACTAACAGGCGTTGAGGCATAAAACCCATGCAGTGGGTTACTTTGCCTATACAAATCCATATTCTGCTCATGAATGTTCAGTTGGGTGTGTCTGACACCTTATTTGGGCAAAATAAGACAGTGTGTGCTCACATGGGAATGTCAATGGCTTGCTAAACTGTCTATTGTCAAACAGTTGCTGTGTACTTTAATCCATGACTTTTACTTCAGATTCTTATGTCTGTAGTAACTTAACATCCCCAGCACCAAGCTGAACTGGAGCTGTTATACTGGTTCACAGTGGCCCAGCACTCCGTGGTCCAGTTTCTTTAATCTCAGAAGTTGCTTGTAAATTATGCATAACAACACTCAAAACATTTACATTCATATTCTTAATATTAGAGCTTATGTCAAAATAATACTATAACTTTATTCTAATGCTGTGATTTACATTTATCTGGCAGATTGCAGGTTAAATGTGGGATGGAAAAACTGTTCATTGGTATTCAATAAAATATGTACTTAATCAACATTTCAATTTGCATATTTCTTATGATGCAGAAAATTGCTCTGGCCATTATGTTAATAGCAAGTTTGTTTATTGGGTTTTGAACAGGATTTCAGGAAAGTCTATGAAGAGCTTGGATTTGGAGCTGAAGATGAGGTCCCCTTCTCGTTGCTGTCCCAGCATCCTACGCTGCAGGAGTTGATGGAGAGCTCCGTGCAGTATCAGCTAACTGTAAGTCCAGGTGCTCATGTCACGGTCCTGTGTAACAGTCACTGAGATCATACCATCTTGAGAAAAAGCCAATGAGTTTGGATCGAATTGTGTAAAAGCCAATTAAGTCATACCAAAGTCCGATGTAAAACCTAACACACATTCTTCAACACAAGCTACAAGCGATAGCTGCTGTACTCTTTCAAGGGGTAAACTAGGAGGATTAAAATGGCCAGTATGTAACACCTGCTTCCCTCTGCATGTTGCACTCTCATTGGCTGCATGGGGTTTCCCATGAGGTGACTTAGAGTGACCCATCAAACCTGACTGGCCATCCATTTATAGATATATAGATGAGTAGCCAATCAGGTTTGATGGGTCACTCTTAGTTACCTCATATATATGAGGCTGTAAGTCACTTCATGTATGTATGTATATATGTATGTACAAGTCAGTTCTGCTACAGTATGACTAATATGTTCCTGAAAAACCTCACATTAACTAAAACCGTGTACTAAAATACACATATCCAAAACAGGGTTAGGATTGGACTTCAAAACTTAGTAACTTACGCCAAACTAAATTAATTAAATAATAAAAACAGTGCTGTAACCAACAAGGTAATTATAATGTAATTAATGTAATTATTTGCATTTTAAATAATAATTAATAATAACACATTAATACATTTTTTGATAAACATTTCCTATGGGTCTTATGAGTCTCGCGAGAATTGCCTAGTTACCGCTTCAACCGAACGTGCCGGACTTGCTAACTTGTCCATTGCCAAGAGTCGGGAGTAGTGATGGCCAAAATGACATTAATGAACCATGTGCTGTATTTTCTGACCCCACTAGATGGTGCTCTAGGTTACTTTTGGGCATATTTTGAGCCCTTTTTTTGAACATAGAGTACCATCTAGACAAGAGTAGTGAGCCACAGCCACCATGCGGCCGGACATGCACACAGCACACACAGACACATACATTACGGTAAGTAGGGGGGCACTGAATGCTGCATGGCTATAGACAGTCTGCTAAAGCAAATGTAAGTGAATTAAAAAAAATGTTGCTGTGTTTTTATATGATAATTTGTCAAATAAAATTTAGATTATTAGAATGTAATACTTTGACCCGTGCAATGCTCAAATGTACAAAAAGTTTTTTTTTTTATTTGAAAACCAGTTTGACCGATTCACTGAAAACAACCGGTTCAAAAGAACAATTTGTTCATGAATCGGCATCAGTATCGCTCCCTGTTTACGCTGCTTTTGCATGCAAGTAGTGCCTCTTGTGTTGTAGTTAGCGTGGTGCTTTTCTTTCCGACTGAAAATCACGCAAATACAAAAGTGATTCCGCATTGTGTTGGACTTGGGCACTAATATTGGTATCGTGTTAGAATAGATTCGCATTGAGATATCACGCGATATGGCAGGACTGACTGTATATGTATATACATAAACCTTTTCTGAAATTTTAATCTGCTGTGGTGTAGGCCTACTGCTCTTTAGGTCCGAATTGTTAATTAAGCTTGCATCTCATCTCCATGTACAAATAGATGAATGTATGGATGACAGCTTTGATAAATTGTTTTGTTTTATTTGACAGGATATGCAGTGTGTCCTACAAGCCCAGCTGGGAGAAAATGAGTCTCATTCCCAGTTTCCACTGTCTTAAACTGCAACTAGTCCCCTGCTTAATGGAAAAGCACCTATTAATCCCTGATTTACACAACACTTTGTCTGTTAAAGCTTGTTGCCATATTTAGCACCAATACAAACATAGACTGGCCACTTTGCAAATCGCAAAATCACTGGTAACACTGCATCTGCAGTAGTTCTCCTGTAATAAGGCTTTTTAGTAGTCATAAGTTGCCATAACACTATGTGTCATAATGTTTCACTGCGGCAGGTTTAATGTGTGCTGTCATTACACTTATGGCCAAGTGCTACAATATGCTTCTGATAATATTACTGTGCATTGTGGCTGCAATTTCCTCGGACAGTTACAGCTGGAAGCTGCCGGTCTCTAACCTTAAATTATTGAGCTGCAAATTTATATATAAACGCTGCTCCTTAACTGCTGTAGTGCCTGCTTTCGTAACCAGAGATTATTATACAAAGGAAGACACTGTTGATGTATCGTTATTTATGTAGCACACCTAATAAAGTCCTTTGACTGAAAATTCAGCTGTACAATGTGTGCAATGATAGATATGCTGAATAAAATCTGTAAGAAGTTGGTGTAACAAATCATTTTCACTGTTAGCTATGAAGGCATCACAGTCCTTCACCGGAAAATGGGCTGTCTCAGCTATGGTGACAGTGGTGACAGTGGTGACAATAGTGACAGTGGTGAAATGGTGCATGGAGACTTTCTGTTTTGGTTTAATCTAATTTGTATCCTTATTGTCTGTATGTTGAAATATATCTTCTATGTCTTTTTTTCTACTTTGGGGGGGGGTATTGTTCATACTTGAACGTTATGATTTGTGAATATTTTGAATAATTTTTGAAAAAATCCAAGCTAATGACCCTAATAACCACCAGACACCAATATATCTTTTAGAATGGTGACCGGCAGCCATGTGGAATCTCTATGTTGTGTTCTTTGTAAATGATTTATATGTAGAGGTAGGTTGTCATACTTTACATGCAGCATAAACACTTGGAATACCCAAAGAAGCATTATGTAGATTTTGCTCATATATACAAGGTCCTTCTTGGTTAACCATGTCTCAGTTCTGTGTTTCTGGTCTGCAGAATAGAGTTTCAGCACAGCTGTCAGGAGAACATTCTGCACCAGGGATAGATTACTGAATGTAAATAGTTCCATGTCCATTGTCCTTATAGAGGTTCCAGTAACTTATACAAGTCCTGATACATTGTATGAGTCTGACTGGTGGGGATAGAAGAGCAGCAACACGAAACATGAAGGTTTTCCTTCTCAGATCCCAGAGCCTAAACTTATGTAATGTTAAATAGGAATAATTTAGAGTAATGGAACATTGTCTTACGTAAGAACATTTTCTTCTTAACGTAGAGCCACCTTATTACTTTTTAATTTTGTTATTGTGTTATTTGTCTCCATTAACATTAAAATAGGCTAAAAGAGATAAGGATAAGTTTTGATATGGTTGATACTGATGCTTAATAGGTATTATTACTGATGAAGACGTTGTAGACTTTGTAATCATGGCTCCATCTGCTGGTGCTGAAAGACATTGCAACAGATATGCATCTCAGTTCTGGCATGGTACTTGAAGACCAGCGTCATCCCATATATGTGTATCAGAACTACAGAAATGTAAAGATAATTATTTTAAGACTATATGTTTTTCATAAACTGCTTTAGAAGTGATGTTAATGAAAAGAAACATTTGTTTCCCCTGCATATGGTAGGTAAATTGAAAACACCCACATTGTCTCACATCTGCTTATGGTCTCAGTGATAGTAAACAGACCAGAATCAGTCTGATTCCTCATTTAGCATGTGCCTTCATTTAAAGGTCAAGCTCTTTCCACTGTGGGGATGTGGCCATTTAAGGAGCTCCTCAGTCATGAGGAGCCACAGGTAGGAATCACCACGCTGTGCTAATCTGAGAACTGAAGGTCATTTTATGTACAAACGTGGTCACTTCCTTGCTGTGGTCCAAGCCGTTTAGAAAAAGAACATCTGCTTAATGAATAAGTATCAACATTGCCATGAATATGGAGAGAAGCGGACTGAGAAGACATCGAGATAAAGCCTGTCCCACAAGGCTTCGGATGTCAGACAGGACTAAATCCATCACAGGGAATTCTCCCTTTCTGTGTCCGCTTACATTCCCCTGGTATCTGGAATTCCAGGTGATTTCCTGTCCTGCACCTTCAGACAACCAAAGGTTAATGGATTCTGAACTAAAAATCTATGCAAAACACAAAGTAAAAGCTTAGGTGAAGAGTGAACAATACAACCAGTAATTTTATATTACTTTCAGTAATAAAACAAAACCTAAACCTCGAAACAACACAAAATCACCTGAACCCTCTAGCCAGGTCGAAATGCTTGTGCCCTGTAATCTGCTGGGAGATTCCCAGATGTTCCCTGTTAGCGTTTGGTGTCATCTTGTGTAGTTTCTGCTGACACTTATCACGACACAATCAAGTCTGGAACCTGATTGAAATTAGCTAACACTCTGCTCCATATTATTGCAATGTATGGAACGCTTAACCAAGTATATCCCTGCCTTTAGTAATGCCTCATAGGTATAATAAGTGCAAATACATTTTAGCAGATGACTTCCTCCAGCAGTCCAAAGGCATGCAGAACTGGTATCTCCAAACTGGCTAGTGTGTGTGTTTGATTGTATTCCCTGTGATGGACTGACATCCAGTTGCAGGTGTTTCCCTGCCTTGTGTTGGGGGAAGGTTCCAGATTCTCCTCTGATCTTGTCCTGGATATGCAGCTGAGAGCTGGATGGATGTAAATATGTTAGCATCAATTAAAATAAAACACTTAACCCATTTGTTACATGGGTACTATGATATGAAACAGGCTTCCTCGTCCTATGAAAGCCAATTTTTTTCTCACTTAAGCACTGACTTAATTGCTCCGCTAGAGCTAATTTAGCTATCTCATTACTGGAAAATCCTCCCTGTGGGAAAGAAGTCACCTTTGTTATCTAGAGCATAACTGGTTAATGGTGTGTCATTGGGGTGGGGGTGGGGGCATTTGGTGTGTAAAATCTGAGAAACTATTAAAAAAAAATTCTCCCTACTATGGTGTTAAGCCAGAAGAGAGAACAGAATCAGGCAAAAAATTGTGATCATAAGACACGTCTACTGTAATGTCTGTCCTGCTGTGAAAAAGCATGACAAGTACCTTTACTTAACTATTCTCAGGGGTTTCATTTGCAGTCTTAGCCTTAAGCATAGTTCCCGAATCGTTGTACCTCCTGCTGTTGTGTAAGGGCTGTCCCTCCTGTCAGTCACAGTTAGAAACACTGAACACTTCCTGATCCTGCTAATACTGATTTCAATTAAAAGTCAGCAAACAGAGAATTTCCCTAAATGGAAAAAGCTGCCTAGTTTCTCACACGTGACATTTGAAGGGCTGATCACAACACAGTGTGGAGATATTTCAGCTTCTGTTTCCTTTAGATGTTGTTGTTTTACTCTGTTATTTTTTATGGCTCTGGATTTATTGTTAAGTTGGAGATTATGTCTAGAGAAAACACATATTTGTGCCAGAGAAAATGCAGCGAGGATGGAAAGCAGAAGGAGAGCATCAATGAGCAAACAGCCTGAGAATGAGGCAGCTATCCAAACACTCAGAGCTGTGGCTTCCAGAGGTGGGTTAATTCAGGTCCAGAGAGTAAAAGTCCAGACCGAGACTTTGTTTCAACCAACAGTTAAGTATGAAGATTCATAGTCACATAGTACAGAACTGGTTGGTTGAAACAAAATCTTGGTCTGGACTTTTACTCTCTGGATCAGAATTACCCACCTCTGGTGGCTTCCTTTCTGTTCTTCTGCTGGAGCCCGTACTTCCCTGGATCCTCCCAGAATTTAACAATGGACTGGGCTATTTTAATGCCTTAGAAACACCCCCATTTCATCCAAGGGAAATCAGATCTTTATTAGTATGTCACGGTTAGCAGACTCGTGCTTCGTTGATAGACCGTCACGCTTTTGATGATGCTGTTATTATTATCTTGTATTTGACTTCTGGAACAGTCTCTCAAAATTGTGTTAAGGACAAATTTAATAAAGAAATGATAATGAAGAGAAGTAGGATGGGTGGGGTAGTTAAATGTGAAATGTCTCGTGGGATAATGAAAGTAGGCCGACGGAAGTTTGTTTTGAGCTCTGAAAACATTTGAGCGTAAC